TTTTGAGAGAGGGTCTTGCTATGTAGTTCAGGCTGGCCTTGAACTGGCTGCTGTCTGCCTACCTCAGCCCCCCAAGTGCTAAGATTACAGGTGAGCACCGTCACACCTAGCCACAATTGCACTTACTAATTAATAATGGACTAAATAAGTTGTAGTACATACACTGAGGTTTAACTGGCCCTCAATAAGTTTTGTTTTGTGTTTTTGAGACAAGGTCTCACTATATAGTTCAGACCAGCCTTGAACTCACTATGTATCCCAGGATGGCCTGGAACTCATGTATCCCAGGCCTGTCTCAGCCTCCCGAGTGCTGGGATTACAGATGTGCACCACCACTCCTGTCCTGGTCCTTAATTTGTATTGGTTAAGCAAAGGAATTTATTGGCACATGGAAAAGTACAAAAGTACAGAATAGTATCTACTTAGTGCAGTTTTTACAGTATGCATTTATGTACATGCCTTGATACATACATTTCCAGAATCATGTAATAAACTGGTAATATTAATTACCGTGGGAATAGTATTGAGTGGAAAGCATGATGTTTATTTTTAGACTTTAAGTGGAAAAATAAAACAACATAAAACCTTGAATGAAGACCCAGACAAATGATTGGAAAAAAATGCCTGTACCTTCCTAGATTATTTCCTCCATTGTATAGCAGTTCCACTCCAGACTTCACTGTCCTGTACTTTTGCCATTATGCTTTGCTGTTTAAAATGCACTCTATTCTCTTGCATAAATAATCTTTCTTTTCAAAACTAAGGACTAACCCCAGCCAGCCATGGTGGCACATACCTGTAATCCCAGCACTTGAGAGACTGAGACAGGAGGATCACTATGAGTTTGAGGCCAGCCTTGGCTACATAGTGAGTTCAAGGCCAGACTGAACTACATGGTAAGATCCTGTCTCAAAACAAAACAAAACAAAACAAAGCAAAACAAAACAAAACACATAACACTCAGAGCAAAACAAAAAAAGTAGGACTAACCTCTTTATGAGACTTTACTGGACTTCCATTTTACAAAAATCTGTCTTTTAAATATGTGCTTAATGCATATTCAGTTTCATATGATCAAATAATCAGTAATTAATTTATAAAATCAATTTTTATTATGTATTTTTATTAGTACATGTTTGTAGTACATAATGATCATGTTCCTTGGGGGAAGTTACGACATGTACATAGCAAATCTCTTCTCCCCTCTCCTTTTTCCTCCCTCCATCTCTTGGTCCTCTTCCCATGTGCAAAAAATCTATCTCACTATTTCTTATTATCTATCTTCTATTTTCTTCTTCATCCATATGTTGGGTTCCTCATATAAGAAAACCATACAGTATTTAAGTTTGTGTCTCTGATTTATTTCATTTGACATGGATTCAAGGTGCATCCATTTTTCTACAAGCAACTCAAGTTTATCCTTTCTTGTATTAGAGTGCTACTCCATTCTGTATAAATACCCGCATTTGCTTTACCCATTCATCTTTTGATAGACATATAGGCCACTTCCAAGATTTAGCTATTGTGAATTATGCTGCTATAAACATGGACATGCACATATCACTGTAATAAATGTCTTTAACTCTTTCAGGAAGAAACCTAAGAGGGGAAGCTGAGTCCATTGGAATTTCTTGTTTTAGTTTTTTGAGGAATTCCACACTAATTTCCATAATGGTTCAACTAGTTTACCTTCCCACCAACAATGTAGAAGCTCCCCCCAACCTGCAGCCTTGCCAACTTTGTTGTTATCTGATTTCTTCGTTTTTGTAGTTATGTAATTTCTTTACGATAACCATTCTTTGTGGAGTAAGATGGAATTTCAGTGTTGTTTTGACTTGCATTTCTCTGATAACCACCAGGGTTAAACATTTTTTCATGTATTTATTGGCCATTTGTACTTATTCTTCTGAGAACTATGTATTCATTTCAGTCACCTATTTTTTATTTTGGAAGAGGTCTAATTTGTTTTAGTTCTTTATATATTATAGATATTAGTCCTCTGAAAAGTATCTGCCAAAGATTTTTTTCTCTTTTCTATAGATTGTCTCTTCACTCTGTCGGTTGTTTCCTTTACTATGCAGAAGCTTTTAAATTTCATATGATCACATTTATTGATTCTTGGTATTGTTTTTTGTGCCATTGGGATTCTGTTCAGAAAGTTCTTGCCTATGCCTGTGACTTCAAGAGGTTTGCTTATTTTATCTTTCAACAGATTGTGCTTCTGTTTTAATTAGTTTTTTGAACCATTTTGATTTTAGTTTAGTACATGGTGAGAGATATAGATCTAATTCAGTCTTTTGCATCTGGAATAACCAGGTACCATTTGTTAAAGTGATTATGTTTCCTCCAATGTTAAGTTTTTCAACCTTTTGTTAAAGATAAAGTAGCTCAATGTGCCTGGAGTTGTTTCTGCGTCCTCTATTCTGTCCCATTGATCCACATGCCTGATTTTTTGCCAACACCATGCTGTTTTGTTGTTGATGTTTGTTTGCTGTTTGTTTGTACCCGTAACTTTATAGTATAACTTGAAGTTGAGGATTGTGATGCCTCCTGCCTTGCACTTGTTGCCCAGGATTGCTTTTACTATTCTAGGTCTCTTCTGCTTCCATATGAATTTTAGGGTTGTTTTCTCTAGTTCTCTAAGAAATGCTGTTGGTATTTTGATTGAGATTGTGTTCAATCTATATATCTGTTCTGGAAGTATGGCCATTTTTACAATATTGTTTCTGCCTATTCAGGAACAAGGGATATCTTTCCATTTTCTGGTGTCCTCTTTGATTTCCTTTTTCAGAGTATTCCAGTCTTCCTTGTAGAGATCTTTCATGTACTTGCTTAGGTTAATTCCTAAGTATTTAATTTTAATTCTATCTCTCTTAATTCACAAGCCATGAGCTAGGGAGAGAGTCCAGATTATTTTATTCTTTTCTCTGCATTATGGTCCACCTCTCCAACTTCTCAGTAGCTTTCAGTGTTCCTGTCTGTTCCTTCCTGAATCCCAGTGAACTATTGCTCTTTTTTTCTTCACCAAGTTGTTATTTTTCATTGTCTAGATTCCAGATCTCGGAAAGATTGAGTTTTGCTGCTGTTCACCAATCTACCATTTTTTCCTCTCCCTTCCTTTGTTTTTATTTCCACTGTATGTGAGTAGAGATTTAGAGAATATTCGTACTCTGTTGTATTTGAGTTATACAGCACCTAGCATTACCAATAAGTGTTTTAAAGAATCTTTTTCTTTGATAATTGTGGTGGATTGACAACTAGTCAGCTTGTAACACACAGCTGAACCGAGTAAGCATAGTGCTGGGTGTGGGAGGCCTACCTGAGGATTGTTGCCAGTAGCATAAGAGGCAGAACTGGAGACAAAATTAGGCTGTGGGCAGCTGAGAGAGGCTGTTGGGAGCTAAGAGAAGTGGTTGGGTGCCATTAGAAGCTGTAAGGAGCTGTTGGTTCTCTCGGAGGAGTTTGTCATGCCAGCTTTCTTAATGAACTCACCTGTTCCCATTGTCCAAGGAGCTCAGGACCTTGTTGTCATTGAGAATGGCTTTGGTTCACTTTGGGGGAGCTCTGGTCCTCACTCTGAGCATCGCTTCCTGGCTCCAGAGGGGAAGATGGTGCACTGCTCAGTCTCCTGAAGAAGCTTGTCATGTTGACTTTCCTGATCGAACTCAGCTTTCTTCATCATCAGAGGAGCTCAGGACATCACTGTTGCTGAGGATGGCAGTGGTACTTTTCAGGGAAGCTCTGGTTCTTACTTTGAGCATCACTTCCTGGCTCCAATGCAGATCTCTCAGTCTGCTAGCACAGATCTTTCATCCTGCTGGTATAGACTTTCTAGCTTCCACCACTGATCTTTGGGCCTTCCCAGCGCAGATCCATAAAACAGACCTGCATGAAACATTGTCATGGGCTCTAGGTCTTTAGCTGCACTCATGCAGGATATTATCATGGGGTCCAGGCCCTTGGCTGGATTCTTTGGTCTTTAGTGTGTAGACAGCTTTCCTGCACTCTCTTGTATATCATTCTTTGGGTGACTATTATAAAATATGTGTCCTGTATTGTTCCCCTTGCAAAAACCCCAAATCACGACAATAATGTTAGTTAAAACTTGGTCTGGGGTTGGAGAAATGGCTTTGTGGTAGACTGCTTGCTTAGCATGTGGGAAGCCCTCAGTTTGGTCCCCAGTACTACCAAAAAACAACAACAAAAAGCCTTCTCTAGAAGGACAGAGGAAATGACTCGGTGGAAGGCTTGCCTAACATGCATGAGGCCATGGTCTCAATTTCCAGTACTGGGGTGGGTAGAGGAAGTTGTGTATATGTCTCTATATGTATGTGTGTGCACCTTTGCATGTGTGCCCATTTGCATCAGTATTTGTGTAAGTATATATACATGTGTATATATATATATGTATATGTCATTTTTTTAGGAATAAGAACATAAAACTATAACATACAAGCACAGTCTGAATTACACTAGTAATTCAGAAATTCTGAAATAGTCTGTCTAATCTAACACATTTGAAAGATGAGAAAATTAAGATATATAGATATGTAAACTCAAGCTATTCCTATTATGTTACACTGTGAGGCATAAAGGTAGTTCATGTCCAGCCCTTTCTCAAACACTGTCCATTGTTTTGTCCAATATAGTAATCTTTTGAAAATGTATCTTGTGATTTTAATCCTTTGCTTTTTAGAACCCTTATTATTTAAACATACTCTTCACTTTTTGTTAAATAAGTAGTATTGTTAATCTTGGTGTTGGGGCTGGGGATTTAGCTCAGCAGCACAGCACCTGCCCAGCAAGTGCAAAGTTGTGAGTTCGATCCCCGGTACTGGAAAAAAAAAGTTAATCTTGGTGTTAACATAAGTATGAAAAAATTATTTACAAGTAGATTTTAGAATAATTAACATGCTGTAAAACTTTATAATTCTCTATTAGACCAAAAAAAGGTAGGAGTTCTCTTAATATAATAGGGATTTTCCTTTCTCTTTTTCCAGTTTGTTTTCTTTGCTATCTAAAAAGCACAACAAAGTTCTGGAACAAGCCACACAGTCCTTGAGAGGTTCACTGAGTTCCGATGATGTTCCTCTACCAGATTATGTAAGTAGTTACCTTATCTCATTGATAACATTTTTCCTTTTATTGTTAAATTTATAAATAACAGTACCTCTCAAAATTTTTGCCTTCAGAAACTTCCTACTACACAAATAAAGGAATGAGGTTTCAAGGGAAAAATTTTTTAATGATTGTTGTCAAAAGGTTGAAGAAAAACAATCCTAAAGTAATAGTTTTTGTTAATAATTAGGAACCCTAATATATGAGTGTCTAGACGTCTCCCCAGTGCTTCATGCAATCATGGGGCGGGCTTCTAGAGTTTTTGATTGATCCATGGTCCAATGCTGGGATTATGGGTGTGAGTGCTACACCCGCCCCTCTAGGGTCGATAGTTTGCATACAGTGTAAGGGAAGGAAAGAGGCTTGCTTTTGCTGCTTCTCCCTTTTGCTCTTGCTGCTTGTGCTGTTTTCCGCCACCATGAACTCAGAGGCCACCCTGCCTTGGAGCCAGCCAAATATGAACTGAAACCTGCACAAACTGTGAGCTAAATAAACCTTTGCTTCCTTAATTTTGGGCATTGGGTATTTTGTCTCAGCAATGGGAAAAAATTAAATAAGACAACAAGTCAAGAAACCCATTCAAACTAATTACACAAAAATGAAAAGAGGGATTTTATAGGAAGTATACAGAGATTTTTCACTGAGCTCAGTGGAAGAGGGGGGAAATACACCTGGATTTCATAAAGAGCTCTAACCTAAAATTGAAAAACCATGAGGTTCAGGAAAATCCTGTTACTGAGGCCCATTTTGTTTCTTTTCTTTTTTCTTTCTTTTTAAATTTATTTCTTTTTCTTTTCTAATCAGGTTTTATTGGTACATTTTAGATATACATAATGATCACATTCATCATAGGGAATTTGTACCTGTACATGATATAATGTTTCTTTTTCCCATTCCCCAACCCTCCCTTCAGCTCCTCCTCCCATCCCTGTTTACAGTAGCTTTCTTTCCATTTTTTCCTTCCTTTCTCTCTTTTTTTCTTTACTTTTCCACTCTTTCCTTTCCCCTACCCTGCTCCCTGGTTCCCCTTCCAATTTGAACCTTTTCTTCCTATTTCACAATGCCTATTATACACTTTTGTCCTTATTTACACTTTCAATTTCTCACACCAGAGAAACAGTGTGGTCTTTACACGTGTGTCCAGTTGATTTCACTTAAGAGTATAGTCTCAAAAGGTGCACCTATTTACCTAGAAATGTCTTGAGGTTGTCCTTCTTTATTGCAGAGTAGGACTCCATTGTAAAAAAACACCATCTTCTTTCTCCATTCACCAGTTGATGGGCCCTTGAGTTGTTTCCAAGATTCGGCTATTACAAACTGTGCTGCTATAAACATGGGTGTGCATATGTCATTGTGGTATGATGCTTTTAATTCCATTTTGCTTCTGATCTTTATTCCATTTTGCTTCTCCTTTATTCTTCTGCTGTGCTCTACCAGCCACGTTTCTCCCTTTACTTACTTGGGTATAAGATAGCAATCCCAACTCTTTCCTTTCCTCTTGGCTGGCCCAAAACATGTCCTGGTGATAGGAGTGAGTACCTCTAGCTAGCCATTCAGTCTTGAAGTCCCAGTTGTCATTCATGGGAAAAAGAATCCAATTGACTGTTGTCCTACTAACATGGGACTATAAATGATATCAGGCATGGTCAGAAGAGGAGCACTGTAACATGTTGCCTTTGTTTCACCCACTTTATAGGTAATTCTGTACTACCACCTGACCTTGGAAGATGGTGATGGAGTACGATAAAAATAGTCTTGTGTGATAATAGGGAGGAGAGCACATTATGAGTCCCTTTAGGGCAGGGCCACTATGTGTGACATTTCTTAGATTTTAGAACATGGCTTAAATGAAGGTACTAAAAATTATCTTGCCACAGAAATTGTTCATGAAATTCTAATTGAGGTCTCATATATTACCCAACAGTTTAGTAGGTTGATATTTAGAGAATTTATTAAAGAACTTTTAAATTTGATATTTGAAATGGCAGTGCATACCAGACAGTTGAAAAGTTGTTTTGCTTGTTTCCTGTGGTTTGTTTCATTTCTAAATGGTCATGGTGATACGAGACTGTGGGAACTGCACCGAGATCGGGTATCAATCACCAGTAAACAAAGATAGCTGTGTGTAGCCACAACCTGACTGCTGCTATTTTTCTTGTCTTTTATTTATCTTGTATTTGTGGGTCTCCATGTACACTAAATAGGATTTGTCATCCTATTAAGATAGTAAGTTTATATTTGCAAAAAGTATTTTTAAGACTTTCTTGCCAAGTAGAATATTCCAAATTTTTAAAAAAATTAGTGTAACAGCTCACTTAATTCTATATTTACTTTGACTTGTGATAAGAAAATAAATCTTTTTCTGATACCTCTTTGGAGAGCTCTAGAGAAACAAGATGCAATGGGGAATTATATTATAGAAAAACTTGAATCTGGCTCATCTTTGTTTTGTTACTTTTATATAATTCTTATTTAATTCATGTAATAGTTTTATGATTTGTGCCACAAAAAATAATCGATTTATACAGTAAACTGAAGTTGCCCAAGCTGCATTTTCTTTAATCAGAAATCCACAGAATTAATATTTCTTAGAGGAAATAGGTCATATTTAATGGTATTTACCAGTCATGGAGATGATTATGTAATGATAGAGCAGTTTGAATTTGTTTTGTTTTGTTTTGTTTTGTTGAGACAAGGTCTCCCTATGTAGTTCAGGTTGGCCTGAATGCACTGTGTAGCCCAGGACGACCTTGAACCCATGGTGACCCTCCTGCCTCAGCCTCTCACGTACTGAGATTACAGGCATGTGCCACCGTGCCTGGCTTGACAGTTTGAATTTGTCATAGACATTTGAATGCTGTTATTGAACTTTACAGTCATTAGTGTCACTATTTGACTATTTTCTTCTTTTATGAAATTTTCACAAAATAAAAATTAAATTTATTCTTTAAAAATTACATTTATTGAAGTATCTGCTCCCTAAGAATACTAGCAAAATTCTCTTTGAAATCTATTGTTAACAGTCCTTATTTTAACTTCTATTTATATGTAACTTGGAAATCACAGTATTGTCCAAATAGGTTTATGAACTTGAGTTTTGCTGCCTTTCTTTGGCAGTAGTTGGTGGGTACCACAGATTCAGTAATAGTGATAGTAACTGTGGCCCATTCCCTCTGCCTCAGATCTGAAAGGTGATTAAAGCAGTAATCTTAGAAAGAAGCATGGCGACATACTCTTCTTTCCTGATAACTCAATGTTTCATCGGTCACTCTCTTTGCTCAGAATACTGTGTATACATGATTTGCACATTTGAAATCACTCTTCTTGTTCTTCTTTTTTAAATTAGTAATTATCCACATTTGAAATCACTCTTCTTGTTCTTCTCTTTTAAATTAGTAATTATCCAGGAAAAATGAATATTTTCCTCCTTTTTTAATTTTATTTTTGTTTAAGTGTCCTTGCCAGCAGCCACATAAAATTTTGTATCATGAACTAATGCTTTAGACAACTTGTTCATGCAGGGTGGAAAAGGAATGAAAAAGGGTCTTAATGTAGCTGTGGGTTCCCAGATGCCCACTTTCTGTACGAAGATTGAATAAACTATATTAGGAAAGAGTTTGAATAAGTGCTTAGAAATGATGGGTTGTTTTTTTTTCACCGTAGTACATAGAGTACTTTCACTCTACCTAGAGGTTTCTGAGTTTATTAAGAAAATGTTTATACTCATTATACTATATAATTCACAAGTCAGTTGAATAAAGATGTAGAAAGCAAATTGCAAGTTACAAAAACATTAGTATTAGTACTTTACTACAACCATGTTTGTCTGAACCTCTCAGGAGAAACCCTTCAATGAATTTTTAGATAATGAGAAAACTGCCCTGGCTGCTTTAAGGGAAAATAAAGCAAAAATTGTCCTCCAGTTTTCTGTGGGGAGAAAGAATGCTTATGACAGAGAAAGTTGCTACAGGGACAGAAGAGCTCTTTGTTGACTTTGCCCATGCTTTGCTGTCTGTATATTGGGGTTTTATAAAATTTAATTCAGTGACTGAAAGCACAGAATTTTTAAAGGAGACTCTTTCAATAATTTTTTTTAAGTAAGACTGTACTTTTTAGACAACCTTGGCCAAATGTTATAGAACCTGAGAATGGAATATAAAAACAAATGAATTGCCACTGCTTTTTAAACTATTGCCATGGTTTTTAAAGTAATATTGTCACAGTGTCATATATCCTTTGTTTCCCTTATTTCTATCAATCACCTGAACAACTATTTGCAATGAGAAGAATCTTTTGTTCAAGGAGGAACCATAGAACTGAAATTATGTTGCTTTTTATTCATCAAAGAGCTTTTGTATCTTTCTATAGGGCTGACACGTCATCTAAGTCCAAAAAGTAAATGCAGAAGCATAAGACAAAAAGACCCTAGCCTTAAAGAGTGAGGAGCCAGAATTAGAAAAAATTGGTAGTATAAACAGTAGCTAAGGTGCTCACTTCAGCAGCACATATACTAAGCGGTAGCTAAAGGTTTATCCTTGACTTGCTAAGCAAGTATAATGGTACTCTCCTATGGAGATACATATTGCAGTGGTTCTCAGTGTCTTGTTTTTATTTACTTTTTCTCCCAAAACTATACTTCAGTGTCATCTAGAGGCTACACAGTAATTGATAAATAATTAGTCTGACAGCTAAAAAAATGTTTATATATTCTTGTGTTTTAAATTTTTCTTGTTTTAATTTCTGTTATGGTAAATATCGATATACACAATCCACATAAAAATAGCTTTTGAGAGCATTGGTGATTTTTAATAGTATAAAACTGTCTTGAGACTAAAATGTTTAACAATCATTGGAATATATGATTTCCCAGGTACATGCGCGCAGCTCCCCAGTTAAATATACAAGTACCCTGTCTTATTTTCTGTAGTTATTTCTGAGCCAGTAGGATTGAATGCTATTTAAAGGCATAGTGATTGTCATATCCT